CTATGTACCATGTCCCTTCAGGATGTTAGGAATCATGGCTCTCCACAATTTCCTATCTTTTGTAGTGCTTAGAAAATATTGGCTTTTTGCTATCTCACCTAATCCCTGTTCTGCCAACCATTTACACAAGTTCATTAGGTAAGTTATTTGCTGCTTTCCTCTTGCCTCCAATCTGTCCTGTGAGTGTCAAATTTTCAAAACCCTCTTTCCTCATTATGTACCCTAGAAATTTTAACTGCCTTTTTCTGATTTTAAGTAGAAGTGTTCTTTTTGGTTCCATTTTCTATAAAAAATTTTTGTTGCTCACATGTTCAGTCCATGATATTCTCATCATCCTTCTGTAGAACCCCATTTCTCTTGCTTGAAGTCTCTTCTTCATGTTTGAGGAGATTATTCAGCATTCACTGCCACATAGGAAAACTTATATTACTATTTTCTTTGTTTCTTATCATATTTTCTTGTTTCTTAGCTTTCGGAAGGCATCATTCAATCATCTCAATACACCTTCAGATTTCAGTGTTCTACTTTCTATCCTCCATTAAAACACTTCCCTGATATTCAAATTGTTGTACTTGTTTGATTTTGCCATCTCTAATTTGTAATTTGCATGTTAGGCTGTTCTCTTCTTCTTGCTTTCTTCCACTACTTTCTGTAGAAGCTTTTGTAGTTTCCTTTCTCCATCTGCTATCAGCACTGTGTCATCTGCATATCTTATGTTCGCATTATGGCAGCCAATAATGAATTCTGGTAGGATTTCTAATTCTCTCAGAATTATCTCACTATAAATGTTGAATAAGTCTGGTGAGAAGACCCATCCTTGTCTTATGCCCCTTTCTGCTTTTGTATATTTACTGAATTCATTTTCTCTCCATATATATGTGGTTTAATTTCAGTATCTCATTCTTGAATTTTAGGCCTCCTGTTGATAAGCAGGTTTCTTTTCCCCTGTTCTCTTCTTCCTTTATTTATATCTACTTTATCTGTGATACTCATTTTTTCTATTTCTGCACACTTTTGTTGAGCCATTCCTTTTTTGCCTGCCTGTATTTGTTCCTAAGGTAAAAAGTTACTGATGGAGGTTGTTGGATGAGTAGTCAGAGTAAGAAGTAAGAGGTTTCAGTTTATGAGGATATGAGGGAAAGATAACTGTTAACCCTAGACTTGAAGAGGTTAAGAGTATAGATGACAAGAAAGCATCCTCTCAAGAAATTGATCCATACAGTAGCAGTTGTTGGAAAGAAGCTGTGTGAGTGTAAAACGTCCTCTTTACTAATAGAATATTAAGGGAATAGGGATGGTCCATCTTGGGGAAAGATGTCATGTCAGGTTTTAACTTTAAAGATTAAAACTAAATCTAGCTTATGAAAACGTTTGCTAGAAAAATAGCAATAGAGTAGCAAGAGGTTTGCAACATTTCACCTGTGATAGAGTGGGGGGGGGTTATAGGGTAGAAAAGTATTCATTATCTACAAAGATGCATAGATGCTTTCAAACACTATCAAGACTGGAAAGTGAAGACTGGACAGATCCCGCATAGATATAGCAGCAGTACACCATTTTTGGACTGGTCTTGCTCTTGTAAAAATAGAGCGCATTAGGAGGAGTCAAGTAGTGGAAAACTGTATGAGGAATTGACTATTTATTTTAATGATGGATTGTATATATGAGTTTCATTTGAGGTCTGGCTATGAACTTGATATTCCTAATATGTAGACAAGGTATGGAAAACCCATCATGGGAATTGTTTGTTCATCACTTAAGGCAAAAATTCAGGGTCTGTTTAGTGATGATGGAATGTTACTAATTCTGTTTTGGAAGTATTTATCATATAGGGCATAAAAGAATGGAATCGTCCATTTATGTAAATAAGTAGAGATGAGAAAAGTTAGTATTAGGACAATTGCTAAGTGTACCTTCGTGTAGTAAACCTTCTATTTCATTACTTACGTATGAGTTTGTCTTCCTTCTTTATTTCCCTCTGTTATCTCAAAAACACAAGATCTGATAGATAGATGCAACAGTATTGAATATTACAATCCAGTTATTCCCTCATTGACCTGTTAGATCTAAGTCAGAGGAGAGATTGACTGCCAGGTGACGTACTCCCATATACCATTGAACCATCTGCATAGATATTCACTAAAGATCAGAGTATGTTCTTTGGTAAATTGTTAATATAAGACAGAAATAAGCAAGCCTTGAGGGATGTCTGCAATAATCTCATGCGCTTCAGAAAAAAGGCCATTAACAACAACCTTCAGGGAACTATTTATTAGGAAGGACTTGATAATTTTGAGAAAACTTCCAGAGATTTCATAGCTGGAGAGTTTGTATAGCAATGCCCTATGCCACACCTTGTCAAAAGTCTTTGATATTATCTAGAGGCAATTATCTTCATGATGTAATTGTTATCTAGTGCCTCACTAATACTTGGTAAAATGACATAATATCAGCAGTGGACCTAACAGTGAAACATTCATATTGTTTGTCCCTCAGGAGGTTTTCCCTGTTGAGGGAATCAACAACTATTTTGCTGATAGCTTCAAAGAGTTTGCTGATAAGCCAATATCATAAGAAGGATGAGCACTCACTTGCATTCTTGAAAAACAAGGCGCATACACTTGATACCATCCATAAACTTAGGAAGGATTTCTCCTTCAGAAAGTTGTTGAAAACAGTTCATTATAAATGCCATCAATTCTATAACAATTGGCGACTAAAAGGAAACCATAACAATCATGTTCCTCATTCTGTGTTTAATATATTAATACCATCTGACAGAGTGAGAAAATCATTTCAATAAAGTTCTAATAAATATTTGATATAACACCAGTTTTTTAAGTATATTGCAAAATCAAGAATGAATTCTGATTAAATGAAATTTTGCAAAAGTTCTATTTATGTATTTTTTGCATTTTAATTGTTATGATTGTGAAGCTATTCTTCTTCTTCTATATAATGTGTCCTCTTAGGATATGGGTGATCATGGATTTCCACAATTTCCTGTCCTTTGTGACTCTTAGTAAATTTTGTCTTTTTGTTGTCTCTTCTAATCTCTGTTCTGCCAACCATTTGCACAAGCTCATTAGGCAGGTTACATGCTGCTTTTGTCTATCCCGGTTGCCTTCTATAAGTCCTGTGAGTATGAAGTTTACTAAGCACTCTATCCTCATTACATAGCCAAGAAATTTTAACCATATATTTCTGATTCAAAGTATGTCCTTTTCATTTTTGTTTTTCTCTAAAACTTCCTAGTTGCTCATATGCTCAGTCTATGGTATTCTCAGTATCCTTCTGTAGAACCACGTTTCTGTTGCTTTCTTGCTTCTTTGTCTTTGAGGAGATTGTCCAGCATTCACTATCATATAGGATGGCCAATATGATATAAGAGTTAAGTATTCTTTTCTTTGTTTCTAATGAAATCTTTCTTGTTTCTTAAAACTCTGCTTAGCTTTTAGAAGGCATCTTTTGCTATCCCAATGAGGCTTTGGATTTCAGTTTCACATTTTCTGGCTTCTGTTAAAATATTTTCCAGATATTTATGTTTTAGTACTTGCTTAATTTTTATATCCCCAGTTTGTAATTCACAAGTTGGGCCCTTCTATGACAAAAAATTAATTGGTAATTTTTTCCTTCCTTCAATTAATTCAGTTAAACACACTCATAGAGCATTATTTTTTTTAGACACTTTTCTGATCACCCTGACTTTAAGACCAACTCATTTCACACTTTTTGACCCTTTAAATGACTTTCTAACACCACTTTTATTAAGACCCTTCAGTTTATTGCATACTGAGAAACTTCTGACCTCCATCTCCCCACAATTGTTAAAACACCCCATAAGACACCTAAAAGTACTCTATCAAATATATTATTTATTGGATATGTCTCATACACCCAATATGATACATGGTAAAAAAAAAAAAAACTTGCTATTTTTTCAATGTTATACTTTATTGATTATGTATAAAAGTATTACAAAATTTTCCAAGCCTTTTCTAGTGATGACCCACCTTATTTTTGTGATACATGAAGTTTTGTTAACCAAGCCAAATATAAAAATGGAATCATTTAATGAAAACTTTAGTTAAGAATTAAAGAAAAAATAATTAATTACATTAAAGATCCAGTTTGGAAGGCTTTTCTCTTATTTATTGAATACGGATCAGATTCTCAATATGATAGATGGTAAAAAAAAATTTTTTTTTTCTTTTTTCAATTAATCCAGTAAAACACTTAGGGTTTATATTTTTTGATTGTTGTTAAATGTGTCACTGTGCCTCTGCAAACTTTACAGCAGCTACAGACAACCACTTCAAAGACATTCTTAATTCCATTTCTCCTTTCTTCTTTTACTGCACATTATTTTCAATATTTGTATTCAGTAATCCCTCATCTTATTAAGCAACTTAGCAGATAAGGCCCGAGTACACACAGCTGTCACTAGGCTGAAACTCCCAGTCTCTCTGCAGTGATATAACAACATTTTCAAAATGCAAACACAATTTACAAAGCTTTGATGTGATATTAACCACATGTGGTTTGGACTAAAGAAAATGTTTGTAGAAAGAAAACACAAAATCCATTTTGGATGTTATTGGCAAGTGAGCTGATTTAAAACTTTCAGATCAAATTATAACATGTTCTTATGTATTGCATTATTAAAAAAAAATGTAGCTTTTTGTACAGACAGGAATTTTCTTTCTTCTTTTCTGAAGCTGCTTTTGATGAGATCTATTTTCAGTAATGGAATTATGACATTCTCACAAATCAAAATGCATAAAGTTTGCATAAAATTAATTTACATTTTAAAATCTCTTAGAAAAATAATAAATCTTGTTGCTATTAATTAGAGGCAGCAAGATTCAAGTTGCTCTTGAAAAAGAGAAATTTGTCATAGGAAAATCAAAAAACTCTTTGTATACTCAAATAAGTCATATAAATGTTGATATTAAAAGAAAAAAATGATTCTTCATAGAAACTTTAAGGTAAACTCTTACCTTTTGAACAGCCTTGTCATGTTTCTGTTGAAGCTGAAGTTTTTCCTCATAGAATTGGGCTTCCATTAGTTTGGTCTTCCTTTCAAGCTAGCAAATCAAAATGGTATTATCAAAATACACTGGTGCTGGGAAGTAACCACCATCAAAAACAACAAAAGGGAAAGATCAAAACTATAAACCGAATCATTTTAAAGAATTCTAATAGGCCATTATCTTCAAAGACGTTCATCAACAAAAGCTCCAGATGATTTATTTATTTGTTGTGCTTTCTAGAGCTTGGGGAAGAGTTTAAGTCAATTTTGTGAAGACCTTCAGAATCACAATCCCTAAAAAACTACTGCAAACGTCTTTGTTAGTAAAAGACAGACAAAAACATTTTGCTCCTTTATTGCTGCAGCAATTGAGAAGCCAAGCAATGAGACTTATTCAAAAAGAACAAAATCTTTCATCTAAACAAATAAGATTCAAATGAAGAATCTAATTAGATGTCCATTTCTTTGCTGAATCCTAACAGTGTCTGCTAGAAAGGCTTACAGTTTTGCCAATAAAACATTTTCTTCAATTGCTTGATCTCTAACAATTCTTATGAATTCTTTTACCAACCATATCATTAGCAACTTAATAAAAATCAAGTTGACTTTACTGGACATTTTATTTAATTGCTACTGCAAGCAATTTTATTGATATCTTCTTTATTATTGTTACATCAAAGTTCAAGTGTACATCACTGAACAATGGCTAAAAAAAAAAAAAAGGAATTTTTTTTCATTTGAAAGATTAATTCTTTTAAATTTCTAATAATTTTAAATAATTAAAAATAGTGAATCTTTATTGAAATCAAAAGCAGGAAATCATATTGAGCTGAAAACAGGAAATGCCATATTTAAAGATTGGAAGAAATATAACAAAGGTAGCAAAAAGCTTCCCAGTAAAAGTAACACATGAATAATCTCCATTATGATCTGTCAAGACATGATAAGAACATAAAAACCTGTTTGAATTCTGAGACAAAATGGATTCATTATTCATTTTTGATTAGTTTATCTCATCGTAATATCTGGTTTTTTATTATATGATATATTGACATAAAATTCCAGTTGTGAAAATAAGCAGATTGTTAAATGAGAATAAAGAAAATCGTTTCTGGTGAGACTCTTTTGGCAAAACATATCCAGAGTTGGAGTTCAGATTCCTCCCAGCTTTAGCAATGCACAATTTTAAAAAGAAATTGTTTAAATATCAAGGTAAAGAAATTTTATGAACAAACTTTCCCTAAATAATCTCAAGTAATCAAAAATTAATCTTAAAAACAAAAATGAATTGTTATTCATCTAAAATGTCTTTCATCTTATTCATTATAAATATGTCTTCCATCTTATTGTTTACTTATTTTAATTTACTCTTTTGACAATTCTAGTGTGAAAAATCTACAACTGAAATGTAAATTTAAAATGACAGATCTTATATTACTTTCTTGTGTTTGGTGTTTGAAATTTCTTTTCAGTTTTACTATTAAATATTTCACTTAACATGAATTTTTATTTTAACATGATATGAATATTCTATAAATACAAAATTGATGTCCCCAAGTTCTACAACAATACATTAATCACAAACTCCATAATGTTTTTTTTTTTTATTTTTTTTTTTTTTATTATATCTTGCTTAAAATCCTGTATCTGCCCCTGGAACTAATAAGAAAATGCTTTAATCAATTTAGTTATGGAAACCTAATGGTCAGAGCAGAGAATTCTTTAAGGTGGTACTGAAATTCTTTTCAAAATTAAAACATGTACCAGAATATTTTTCCTTTTGGAAGGTCTTTCAGCACTCGCTTATATCATCATGGTGCCAGTCTTTCTTTCTGATATTTTAATATCATATTTTATTTATTCTGGTGGTCATAGCAGTAGATTGTTAATCAATAATGAAAAAGTTTCATGTCAGGATTCCAAGAAACTGAAGATACCCTGTCCATGTGTCAGAATGAGATCTTGATATCTAGAATGTAAAAGTTCTAATCCCATTAAAAACTCCTATTTCAATTCAAGTTATGTTACAACGTCCTTTGATGGTTGGATAGAATTCAGTCATTTGTCGTTTAATCACAGAACTAAGCAGTTTATATGTTTTATTTATTAATAGTCCCATAGAATAAGAGTAATGTTGCTGGCAATTTGAAAATGGTGAAAAGAAAAAGTACTTCCATCAGAGGTAAAGGTGAAGTCTTTTCACTTAAGAAATGAAAGAAAAACTAGGTTGATGTTCTTAAGTTTTACAAGATGAATGAATCTTGATCCTCCTTTATGTAACTTTTATGAGAGTATTAGATCATTGCAGAACTATGTGCCCAATTAGAAAATTCAAAACAAAATTTTACATAATCACAAAAAAAAAAACATTTATTAGTTGCCATTGTTTTTAACAACTGTCTCCCAACATTCTACAAACTTTTCAATTCCATTTTCATAGAAGCTTCATGTTTTTGTTTCTGAATGTAAAGTCAATGTTTTTTTTTCATTTTAATTGTTCTGTAGAGACAGGAACAAATGAAAATCTGAAGGAGCCAAGTCAGGAGAATATGGTCAATGTTGGAGAATGGAGTTCCATTTTGATTCTTTAAGCTTCTACAAGGACTATTTTGTAACATGCTATCTTGCATTGTCATGGTGGGGATTGACACCTTTTTGATTTGTTGAAATTGGGTGTTTTTCTCAAATAGCCACATTGAGATTGGTGTGTTCATTACAATACTTCTTTGCAGTTGTTGTTTCACTGGCTGGAAGAAGATCAAAGTAAATTTTCCCTTTGCAATCCCAGCAAATGGAGAACACATTCATTGGATGGAAAGCCTGCTTTAGAAACAAGTTCTGCACATTCACAAGCTCGTTTACAGCTGCATTTGCATTGAACATTATCATAAATGATCCTTTTTTCACTGCCTGTAACAATTTCATCCAAGAACTGCTCTTTTTGTGGTGTAATAGCAAAAGATTTCTGCAGAAACGTAACCAAGCTTGTTCTGTTCTGTCAGAGAATGTGGCACCTTCATGTTAAGTTTAGAAACAAATCTAAGTCTCTTCAAATGGCAGTTGAGATATCACTTTTCAAATTCTTAGCAATCTTATCTGTCAAAATCTTTAGTTTATTCTCTACAGTGGCAAGCAGAGCATCTACATCAACTGGAAGATTGTCCAGAGTGCATGGTTAATCGTGTAAGGTTAAAATCACCTGATGGCATCTGTCAACCACTTTTTGACCATCCATAGAAATAGAACCTAAATCCAAATAAACCTTCTAAATATTTTTGTCATAATTCCAATGTTTACTCCTTTCTAAAGAGCATAATATGGCAAAAGTGTAACTTTTCATCCTTCATCTTTAAGGCATTCCTTTTTGGGCAAAATATCAACATTCAACAAAATCAGACTCACAATTGAATGATGCAAGATTTTGATCTGGACCAAACCAGAAATCAACACCAAAATAAACACCAGTGTCAAGGTTTGGTCATTTTATATTAACAATAAAAGTTAAGAACAAACTTTTGCAAAGTTCTGATATATTGTTATAACTGTATATTATCCTTAATTATTGTTTTTAATCTATTTGTTGTATAATGTTGTTCTATGACATGTGGTCAGTAGTCAACTTTCTTTCATCTCACTCTTTACTCTCTACTTTATTTCTCTTATAACCAACATATGCAATTCAGTAAAATCCAATTTGCCAATCACTTTATACTATTATCAAAGCCTAATTTATGAATTGAATGTTATCATTACTAAATATATAAAAGAAATATAGCGTTTGCTACTCTCCATGATTTCTGGTGTCTTTAAATAGATCTTGTCTATGGATAAAAACATGGAGGATGTTTCTTTTGTGCAATGTCTCTTCAGAACATAGGCAATCATGGCTCTCTACAGATTATGTTTCTTTATTATTTGTGAATTGCTATAATTTAACGGGACGTATAGTTCAGTGGTTTCTTGTTGCTGTCTCCATAGTTTTGAATTCAGAGTTATCCTTATCCAAGACTAGCTTTACACCCAAGGTTAGTGAACCTCGTCTATCCTGCTCCTTAACCTATGAATCCACGTCTTTCCCAAGGGCATGTGTGAATGTGGACATACCTGGATGAAATTTGAATTTGTCCCAAATAATGGGGGATGGGGGAGAGGGGGGGGTGATAAAGTACTCAAAAACACCAAATGTTCAATGCCCAAAGTTATCAATTTATTTAAACAGTCTGAAATTAAATTCTATAAATGCTATAACTTAAATGATAAGATTTAAAAAAAAATATTTCACCTGAAGCAAGGTGATAATGCCACTAAGATGCAAGGGAATACTAAAAGTGAAAAAAAAAAACCTGAGAAAATATTAGTGAGGAGAAAGGACAATAAAAGAATGAGATTTTAGAAATGCAGATGATGATGATTGATGCTGCATATAATTTTTTGAAGATCATTGTTGACATTAAAACAAAGAAGCCAGAAGAGATTTCCACAAGTAAGAAATGCAAGAGAAGAAAGTATTAAAATAGAACTTATGATGACATCTAGTTAATTCAACAGTTAAATGATGAGACATAATTGTCAATTTAGTACTAAGCTTAAATTCAGGAAGTCAAGGTACCAAACAAAAGAAAAGGTTATTAGAACAGTTACTATAAAACAGTTGTTATGGTGTTGGAAAAGTAACTGAAGTCAAGGTATCAGGTCAGAACCAATAACATTGCAGACTCTTCTTTGGATTTTTTCAAGATATATTGCAAGAGCACCAAAGGCATTCTTATAAATGATGCATCTTACCTCATATTTGGCTGGGCATTTTCCTGTTTTAATGTCATCTTCTGATGAGGAAGCTGAAATTAAAAGACAGATTTAATGACTAAAATGAATGAATCTTGTTTTATGACAGATCAACTCATATAATTGTCATGTATTTTCCGACATCTCTGATCATAATGACGGTTTTATTGACCAGAAACTGTGGTACTACAGCAAGATGGGAGGATGGCTGACACATGGTACATTTTGCCTGAACATGAACAGATTTTGTGAGGTTAATTTGATGCCATGAGATATTTCATACAATCCTCACTTATCCACAATACTTTTATCAATATTTACAAACTCACAACATAAACCAATTCTGAGCCCCTGTTCTCATGATGAAAAGAAGTTAAAAAAAAATATATAAGAAGTAGAATGACTTCAATATTTACTATAATTTACTGCTAAGTTTCTAATTATCAGGTTGAAACCTGTAGCAAGGATTTTAGCTTCTCTTGTGAAATGTGTGATCCAAGGTTTCTTAATTGAATGCTTGTTTTCTCACTAGTTGAAGGAAAATGCATTACACATTTATGCCCTCATATAGAAATTAGGTAAGGGCTCCAAAATGAAAGAAAGAAAAAGGAAACAACTGAAACAAAGCCTTGACATAAAGAATAAGACTGACATAGCAAAAATTAAAGAGAAGCTGAAACAACAAATTCAGGCGAAGGCACAGAGAATCAGGCATTATGAAAAATGAAACAGATTCTCCTGGCAAAACACAATCTTCAAAGAAGATGCCAAGAAACTATATTGAGAACTGAGAAAAAATAGAGATAAATGACCCACCTAATATTCATCTAGTGTAAGATGTGGGAAAACTCCAAAATGCACAATGAAAGTGCTACATGGATCAAGCAACAACAGAAACAACAGACACATATAGAGTGCTAAAAATGGATGGATATCAATATTACTGAAACAATCGCTGCCATCTGCAAAACCAAAAACTGGAAAGCTCTAGGAATAGACCAAATAGGTTTTTTTTTTATTAAAAAATTGCCTATCTAGCACCCACCAACCAAGACCTTTCATGAGTTTTACAATGATATAATCATAAACCCAGAAAAATGTCCCAAATGGCTGATGTGGGGAGTAACATACCTACTCCCAAAAACAGAAGAGACACAGAACCAAAGGAAGCCAAGTACGAACAATGTACAAGATCCTAACTTCTATTATAACTGAAAGGACATACTACTTCCTTGAAAAAAACAATTTACTCCCAGCAGAACAGAAGAGATGTAAAAGAGGAAGTTATGGGTGCAAGGACCAACTAATTATCAATAAAACAATATTGGAAGAGGTGAAAACAAGGAAAAGAAACTTATCGAATGCATGGATTGACGACAAAAAGATGTTTGACAGTGTAGAACATACATGGATAGAGAAAGGCCTAAAAATATACAGAGCATGCCCCACAACTGCCAAATTCATAATGGAGAGCATGAAAAACTGGAAGACTACACTAAAACTAAACCATAGAAATGGGTCATTAACATCGAGACCAATCAGCCTGAAAATCAGGATCTTCCAAGAAGATTCATTGTCACCACTACTCTTCTGCCTTGCATTAGTGCCACTCAGCTGCCTACTGAACAACAGCAGCTTTGGATACAAGTCACAGAATGGCAAACTGAATCACCTATTGTATATTGATGATCTTAAAATGTTTGACAAGGATTACAACCAGCAAAAAAACCTACTCACCATTGTCAAAACCTTCAGTGAAGACATTAGGATGGAGTTTAGAATCAACAAATGTGGCAAAGCCACCTTCAAAGGTGGAAAACTAACAAAAACTACAGATTTAGAACTTGATATCAACAACAAGATTAAGGAATTAGACGAAGACGGTACATACAAATACTTAGGAATTAATGAAGGTAACAGAATACAAGATTCAATTATGAATAAAAAGATCTGAAAAGAATATTATAAGAGAATGTGTTTGATACTAGAAAGTAAACTTAATAGGGGCCAATAAAATGAAGGCTATCAACACCTTAGCTATACCCATAGTAACATACAGCTTCAACATTATTAAATGGAGTTGAAGTTGAAAGATTGGTTGCCAAGACCAGAAAAATGCTTAACCAAATGAAGAGGCACCACCCAAAATCAGATATTGATAGGCTGTATATACCACAAGCTTTAGGAGTTTGAGGTCTAATCCAACTTGAACTCTAAAAACTATGACAATCAGATTAGAAACATACCTCACAAAAACCAATGTCCCTCTCCTACAAATAGTAAAACACCAAATCCAATCAACAAAGAAGCTGCACTCTTCAAGAAACAGCTTAATATACCTGAAAAGCTACAACCCCACCCAAAAAACCCCCAAAACCACATAACAACAAAGTGAATACCATCTATACTGAATGAGTGAAACAGAAAGCAAAACAACTTGGTCAAATGAAATTACAAAAAAATATTGGGAGGACAAGGCATTGCATGGGAAATACCTAAAAAGAATGGAAGAAACAGATGTGCATCAACAGAAAACACATCAGTGGCTGAGGAGCTTCAGGTTGAAAACTTTTATGGAGTGATTTCACAGTGGAGGCTTGTATTTGTACTAAGTCAGTCCTAAAACAGGTTCAATGTACAAAACGTTAGGAACTTCATATAATAGATATGACGCAGTAATCTAGGTGTGGTCGCTGATACTTTTAGTATCCAACTAACGGTCGTCCAACATCAACTGACTGCCCAACTCACTGAGCGACTGACTTGTTACTCTTACTACTCCTACTTATTATAGGTGGGAGAGTCTATTAACTATAGAATAGGGGTGTTCCACTATAACAAAAACCGAAACAGAAGACCTAATTATTGCAACTCAGGACCAAAGCCTCACAACCAGATCCTATTACTGTCATATAATCAAGGATGGAACTAACCCAAAATGCAGGATCTGCAGAAAAATATAATGAAACTGTCAACCATATTATCTAAGGATGTCTGTATCTAGCAAAAATGAATATACTCACAAACCTAACAAAGTAACAAAATATGTGCACTGGAAGATATACAAGAAACACAAAATCAAAACCACTGAGAGTTGGTATGAGCCCCAACTAGACACAGTTACCCAAACACAGCGGTACCATCCAAGAGAAACACCTTTACGAAAATTATCTGGCGATCGAGATTAACAGGATGTGGGGAATGAAAGTGTATCAATAGTAATCAGAGCTCTGGGCTTCGTAAGAAAAGGAATGGACAATTTTACTAACAGTGGCCCAGGTAACATCAACAAGTTGCCCAGAAGATCGTCCTACTAGAAACATCCCACATATTAAGAAAAGTGCTATCAATTAAATGACAATTCTCCTATAGGGCCTAAGGACCATAGTTTGGACCCAGCTCTAGAGGAAACATTACACAAACAATAATAATAATAACAATAACAGCAATATTAATAATAATAACTATTATTATTATTATCTCATTCAGTCAGATGCCTTGCCATAGAACAAAGGTGAACATGTTCATTAAACTTGACCATAACTACAATACGGACTTCTTTTCTCACAGAGAATACTGAGTAGCATAAGCATGCTGAACAGCACATCATCTTTTCTATTAGAGAAATGGGTTGAATAATGTTCTGAGTGTACAGTCTTTAATGCTTCCTCCACAAATAGCAAAAGTGAACATGAATTATAACTGACGTCACTTCACACCATGATGCCAGAGCTTGGACTTTGCTTTTTCATGGACTGAAACACTCTGAAAGATGTTGCTCCTCAGGTTTATATCACACATCTAAAACAGCCATCACCTACAAGAAGACAGAACCTGCTTCTACCATTGAATACCCCAAAGCAACCTTCAATCCCCAGGTGAGCCTCTTGCAACACCATTGGAATCATCCTCAACTGCATTGTGATGTAAGTGAAAATCTGTTTAGGGGTATGCATTCCCATAGTCCTACTGTAAGTAAATGATTCCCAATGTCCTATATGTTGTTACCATATTTGCTCTGATCTCTGCTGTAGATGCTCTACAGTTAGCCAATATTGCCTTTACAATGCATCAATCTTATCAAGTGTCTGTACTGCATGCCCATCCAGAAGCTGGTCTATGAGGCTAGGAATTTTCATTTGACTACCAATGCCAATATCAAAGCACCACTAATACATCATGTCCAACATATGCAGAAATGACCATCTCACTTTTTGAAGCTTCATGACCTAATCCCTTTCAAGTGGCTCTGATTAAACAATAAAGTGACATATATGTGTTTTCATGGCATCACACTGGCTTGAACCCTTTCACCAAACTAAACCTTCTCACAGCATGTTTCACTGTATAAAGTGCATACACAAAGAGTACATTGATATGAGTGACGGTTGAAGAGTAAAACTTTTTTTCAGAATATCTATTTGCCCTCTGAAATGCACATACTGTATCTATAGGTGAAAATTACTATAATACTTTAGGATGTTGTCATCTTTCTCTCAGTTCAAATAAGGACAGTATCCTTTTTTTGGTTAAAATTAACAAATTTCCAAAGTAAAACTCAAAACCATCAAATGTGCATAAGTGTAATTTCTTAGTATTTCATACTAAGTCATATTATATATAAAATACTGTGACTTCTGTTAGTCCATCCATTCATCACACCCACTAAAATAGCCATACATTGGCTGATTGAAATCAAATTTTGGGGAGAAGTGCAAACAGGTAAGGAGGGTACAAAGTACAGTTGGTTTTACTAGTGTGTGTAGCTCTGTACAACAATGTTTCATTAATTTTTTAGAAAAATTATAACTTTTATCATTTAGCATACAAAATACTCCCACTATTTTAAAAACAATTTAATGATTAAAATAAATACTTATTCAATAAAAAGGCAATATTTGTTTTTGCATATTTTTCTTTAAGTTTTTTTTATATATTCAAGAATCCAGTTTCCAGATAGATCAGAATTTGCTAGAACTATAAACAAATCACAAGGTCAAACACTTTAAAAGGTTGGAATTTGGTCCCAGAAAGAAATATTTATGCATGGTCAGTGTATGTTGCATGTTCAAGAGTAAAAAATGTTAATATATTTTTTTGTTTTTAAAAGAGAAAAAAAAGAAATTTTCTTAAAAAAATTATTAAATTAAAGAAATTATTAAACCACAAAGTAGAGCTTTTTGACAAAGTATTTTTCCAAACAAAACAGCTTATTCAAATTTCATCGATAGATTTGCAAAACTGAATGAAAAATAGAGTTTGTAAATCTCAACAAAAAATGTTAGCGATAACTTCAACAAATTAAATATTGTGAGGATTTCAACACACATCAGCATGTTGTAAAAACATTCTAGTTTATTAAACTTCTGCTTCAGCCATTTTCTTTTTCAGTAGAAATTATTTTCCTTTAATATTAACATTAAATACCAAATGAAGTGATGCATTAATAAAAATACAATCATTTCTTAACTGATAGAATATGAATCTTAAACTGCTAATAACATTAAATCATGTGAGGCTTTTTATTTAATTGAGAGTCAAAATGCTTGACTGCTTTGGAGCATATTAGCAATCAAACTTGGTTGAATATCATTTGGCATGAATCATTAATAATTCTCTACTTACGTCTTAATACTGTACCTATGGAACTGATGGCTTTACTCCAGGCCACAGATGAACCACCCTACAAAGGAATAAAAAAAAATTGAACAAACAAATGAAACTCACAATTCCTTTAAGTCAACAATAAGAAGAACTCGTATTACAAGTTCAGAGGTTTGAAGTATTCGTGTATAGAAATGGTGATATTTCTAGATCGGTTTTATACAATGTAAGGTCAAATGAGAAAATGAACAAAATGGGAAGGGTCAGCTTGTCCATAAAAATTAGGATATGAAATTGTTGTTTTAACTGGGCAATGGTAACACCTATGCATCAACTATCTAAAACAGTTGAGAGATACAAAATGATATCAACTACTAAGTAAGATTGGCTTAGTGTAGAACAAAAGCCCACAGTGGTGGGGCACATAGTGAATACTGAACTTACTACATTAGTACCTTGATCTTCTTTGCTAACCTTTGTGCTGCCTTTTGCTGATACAGCATATTTCAGATATTTAAATCAGCATCAGTTTTTTTTCTTTTCTGAAGTAACAATAACAAGTTTCATCTTTGAAACACTCATTCACTAAACACAAACACAAATTGTGAGCATTTTCATATGAAAAATTATGTTTTCATTGAAGACCATGTGGTCCACACATATAAATGCATTTCATTATTGAATCTATGATAAAACTCTTCAGGAACAAAAGGTCTGCCTGGTCCAAAGTGATAGAGTCAATTAGTTTTGCAAAAGGCACAAAATCCTCCAATTTTTAGATGATTCTTCAAAACTCAGATTTGATGCGTTTGTTTATGATGGGCTATTAAATGCTGAAATTTAATTTTCTCCGGAGCTTTGAAGTAATAAACATATATGTTATTCTGCTTTTACAATTGAATACATGGTAGATGATACTCGGCTTTTGTGCATAGCCATACTTGTCTGGACATGATTACTAGAAGTGCTGATATATGTGTTTGATTTCTTAACAAATTGTAGGATATTATATGGATTAATGTCATGAAAGATTTCTTTCGTGCTGGTTGTTTGATTTTGTTTAGTGGAATATCAATCTCTATGGGTTATTTAATGCCAAAATCTACATATTTTGAACAAAGTTAAGGTCTTGCTGCTGGATGTAGTTTATCATCATGACTATCAAAATCCAGAGATGCCCTAAACAGTGTGATACATAGAAATAAAAAATTCATGGTCATTTTCAATTTTATTCTTCAACCAAACATTGAAACAGGGTCTGTATCTACAAATGTCTTTGGGGGCTGGTGGTCAAGTTTTTCTCTCTCTCAAGCAACAACTGATGGTCATCCCCTTTTTGGCTTTATTTCAAGGGATAAATAAACATCATTGGAAACTTTAAACTAGTTTTTAGCAGGGAGCACAAATACCGTTTCATTCGTTTCCACTCTCTAAATTCTATAACTTATAGCTTTTATAATAATACCTGAAACTTGCCAGAATCTCAGTAGAATTATAAGATCTGAAACAGAATGTACAACTAATGTACTAAGAACTAATATATTGTAATATGATCATTAACATGACAAATATTAGTAAATAATAGCAAAATATTATACAGCAGTCACTATAAGGAAAGACTCAAAATAGCCCAAGCTATTGTTATACAAAACAAACAATTGGCACTAAATTCAATATCTTTTATTACAGATTATATTTTAAAATGAGTATAAAATATTTAATAATATATTTTTCTGGTCCATTATACACATAAAATCACTTTGTACAAAATATATATTTATATTTCAATTGGAACCATAAGATTTGAAAAAAATGCCAGGCTCTGCAGCTACCAATATTTTTGTTTATGATACTCACAATATTTAGTTCTTGATAATAAATAAGTCAAAAGGGCTTGAATACAAACAGAAGAAAAACATGAAATTATTTGCACTATTTACATTCAGACTATTATCCTCATCTTTGTTGTTATCATCACAACATTTTGTTCGTTGTCCCCTCCAGCCTTCATCTGTTGGATATCAAGCCAAGTAAGCTACAGGGAATTCCAAACTGACCTCATTATTTAATCTATAGGGGTAAATTGTTCTCATACCACTACCCATGTCTAGGGATATCTCATCTAGTTCTTATTTTTAGTACTGCCCATATATTGTTCATCCTGTTTCTGCTGATTTCAAGCACACACTGCCTGACTCAGTAATTTAACTCTCAATTACTATTTCACCAAATTCACCAGTCAACACTTTAATCCACTAGGCTATTGGCCTGTAGAAATGTTTTGATAACAACAACAAAGATGAGTTTGAAAGCAAATAGTGTAAATAATAATAATACCCCTCATCTCAGAAATTCAGACAGGAAATAATGAAATTTGGACAGTTTAATCACAATTTCAATTTAGATGTGCAACAACTTATTTGAAATAATGAAAAATACAATTAAATAGTCAGATCTTGTCAGTTGCATTTAGTAAAACTTGTTTGATCTCTTTCTCTCTCTGTAAATAATTGACAGAAAAGGGATTAGGACCTATAATAAAAAAAACAAACCTTACTGAGAGATAAAAATGGCAGGAAGTTGTGGAGAGCCATGATTGCCCACGTCCTGAAGGGACATAGCATATAGAATTTTTTTTTCAAATCTTTATTTTTCCTTCTGATTATTTTCCTTTTGTTTACTTGTCTCCTTTGAAATCATCAGTATCTAAATTAAAATTGTTGAAAAAGTGTTTCTAAAAAAAGACAAAAAAACTCACTGGAAATGAAGCCATTATAGTTTCAATCCAATAATTCAATATTGAGCTAATGGCAAGGGAAGTTTCTTTCTAGAATTAGCATCCTGTATATGACATTGTGTTGAGCTGAAAAGTGATGGCTAAACAGTGGAACCATTCAGCCTTTAACAATAAACTACTTATACTGCTATTACTCTTCATTGTTGATACAGTAAAAATAATTCCAAGTGATTTTTATTTTTGGAAGACATAATGTCATGCAACATTCAAGTTTAGAACATTGTTTGAGACTTGTACTGTCCAATGATCTAACCAATAAGCTCCAACTTGAAAACATTAAATGTTTGATATTTGGTAGATGTACCGATCAATATTCTCTAGAAAGGAGTAATAGTCACATGGTTTAAGCCAAGGTCAGATAGTATGGAAATGTATAATCCAGGATGATATCAGTCAGAAATACTGGAAACTGTCTTTGTTGATTCTGCCAACCATATTTGACAAGACAATAGAACTGCTATCTTTAGAAAATGTTCAGTGTTGAGATTTCATACTGATTCTCATTAGGCTTCATTTAGTTCTTTTTTTTTTCGTCATTCCTTTCTTGTTCTATAAGAATATTTTACTGCATCCAACACTGACACATATCATTATTCAGTTGATCTATTTATGATCTGAATTATAAACATTGAAAATTGCTGAGTTGTTTGAGCAATGTCCTTATCTTTGTCACCCTTTCCATAAACGTTTCCAATGGACTTTACATCTTGTTTTTGTTGTTTGCTGATTTAGAAGACGCAATAAAGTGGTGTTTCATATGTATATATTCAGTCATATTGATGACTTCAATATGAAACTAATTTTAAAAAATCCACATCTTTACTAGATGAACCCCAGCAAGATATTCTTAATCTCCCAAAAGAGTAAATGATAAATTATAAGTTCACTTCTAGATTTTCCCTTAGACTAACAAGGTTTTGCCAGATCAGCTGAAACAAAGCCTATTAAAACATAAGGGCTCATATCATAAAATGTATATCAGGTTTTATCATCTGCTAGACTCCATAATTGTTTCCCCTCATGTCAGAGCTGATGGATTGATTGGTGACAATTCTCATAGATGAATTCACACTGAGCACTTCTTGAACTAACACTCAACTATTAAGTGGAGGGGGGGACATTTAAATACTTGTGCTCAATTAAGAGGATGTTTGTTGAAAGTTTGATGAGGCACTTCAACTATTTGAGATCATTGTTGTCTGTGTATGTCTGGAAAGGTTTACAACTAATATTTTAAATATATTAAAAACCTTTCAACCATCAAGTTACTGCTTCCAGATTGAAAAACATGACGGGCCGCAGTCCGTTAGCGTTAGAAAATGATGGGCACCATAGTGGGTGATGTCCATCCCCAGTCTCTGCCAGTTTCCGCTTACCTCAAGCTTTCCTTTTTTCCAGTGAGTTGGTGCGGGGTCTATGGATTGATATTCCTCACACATCCATATGGCTGATCTAACGGCTGCTTTTGTCGTTGACGGGCAGACTCTTCTGGCGAAGTAGGTGGTACGCCGCACTCCTGGGTGACCACTGTTCCTGTGGATGGACATGATTTAATCTGCGTCTAGTTCATCCACCTGGGTGGCGCCAATCATCGGCCTGGGTCCATTACATGTCTTCATTGCATTAAACCATTGCTGCGGTACCCTTGTCAATCCATCAGCTATATTCAGGGCCGAAGGGACTAGAGCCTCGTCCACGGTCAGATGATACTCTTCCACAAGCTCCTTAAGAGTGCTCAACCGCCTCCTGATGAGCATTTCGTTTGCCGCCTTAGTGCGCACTCACGCTCTCCCAGTCAGAGTATCCGATACCCAATGGTACACGCAAACGGAATCCATTTTTATGTGTAGCGTCTTGCTCTGCCACTGTAGTGCTAGGTTGATGCCTTTCAACACGGCATCTGGTTCGGCCAGGTTGATGTGCTGAGTGTCATCTTTAGGTCACAACCAGCAAGCATCCTCCAGCACCGTCTCGTGGCTCTCTAACGCTACTCCGGTCGCCAGGGAACTTGCATCGACCCACACATTTAGTTCCTGGGCATCCACGCACCACTCCCCATGAGCTGGATTGTCCCACTGCACAGAATCCATGGTCTCAGATACCATGCACTGGAGAAGGGCATCTTTTGTTTCATCATCCCAGCCCTTTGTAACTGTACTTGCTCTCCTCTTAAGCACTCCACATGCCACACCAAGCCAACCACACACTGGAAGGTGCCCAACAAGCCTTCCACACAGAAGACCTTCCGTCGCGTAATGACATCAGGGGTGTTAGGAACCACG